CACTATTTTCGTAATTATCTTCGTTAATTTTTTGCACAAGTGCAACTTTATACCTTGATTAGTATATGGTTTGCATAATTTCGTTGTGACCTTTGAAACTTTTCTTTGAAGCTTGCTCAATCATGTTGGCTTTCGTAGGCGGGACTGGCCTCGTTCGATGTTGCGCCGCTGTACCAGTGCTGATTCCCGGCTTTTTCGCGAAAATTCGCGGACCAAGCGATCCAAGTTTTCCAACTGGCTGACGAACTTCGTGCTGAAGCGCATCAAAGCCTATTGTTCCGACCGATGGGATAGCGATCAACTGATGGAACGGGAAACTTCGAAGTTGCCCTTTTCCGGTAGCGAACCAGTGATCGCTGGCCGACTCGACGCTCGTCCGCCAATCGATCAGCAGGCGAAAGCGGCGTCTAACGAAGAACTGAGAGGTAGGATATATTAGTGTTAAATGCAAAGTCGATCAGTTATATTTTTCGTTCCTATTAGGTAATTTCGTGCTCATAACTTTATGATTACGATGGATGTAAAGTGTCTTAGAATTTGTGAATTGAACCTTGTTCCTCCATGCTGGAGGTTAAGTCCATGACCATGAACCAGCGTTGGCTTAAATGAAAATAAAGATGTTCAAAACGTACGAGTTTCAAACAACGAACGATGCTTTTTGCGTCAAAAGATAATACGAAAACTCTCTGTGATGGTGCAAAAATGCGTAATCGGAAAACATTATGTGGAATGGCAACACGTTAGCGGAATTAATGCTGAAACGAACTTTAGATTCAGTCTGATCGGGAAAATAGTCTGTCCCGTTCAGTCTGATCGAGAGAAGTTTGAATGGAAACAGTGACATGGATTTGAGCCTTATCTTGACGTCAGTTACTAATATGAGGTTGGTCAACTTTTAGTTACGCCCCCATTCCCACATTTACTTTTTCACTGCTTTTTAAGGTTTGTTTTTACCAATGTATGGCTCGAAACGTCGATAATATATGGTAATAAATCAGTAATATAAGAATTTATATCCTGAAGAATCAAGTGAGACGGGAAAATGTGATCTTAAAAACTTTGATTCTGTGGCCAAGTCATCCGTTCAGCAACCGATGTTTCAGAAACCTGGCTACTCAGTCGGCAGAGAGTTGGACCCTGTTTCGAGCTCCTGTCAGATCACTTGGCTTCCTCGTTCCGACGTACGTAGATGAGTAACACTATGTGCGAATGACGCACGAGGTTTCAGGCTGTACTTGTCTACTTCTCGTATGGCTGTAGATTCCGTTGTTAAAAAATGAGGCAGTCCTGGCTTATTATCTTCTTGCGAAGAGCTACGCTGCACCCTAAACTTAATGAAAGGAAGGGCGCTACAAATGACCCTGATCATGAAAGTGTAAAGGCGATCCATATCTCAACGATTATATGTTTTCCTTGCCAGAAATAAGCCCGCGTATTTTCAGTTTCTTATCAGACTACTAGCTTTCTTTCTTTTCCTTTCAGATGACGTTTACTTTTAATGATAGTGTGTGAACTGATATTTCGACAGAGTTGATGTTTGTCTTCTACAGATCTTGGCACATTGACGGTAAAGGTTTAAAAATGGTTGGAATGAAGTTTACATATTATTATATAATTCTTGTGAGCAAATTAAAATAATGCCTCGTTAACGATTTGAGAAATTTTCATAGATGATGTCAATATTGCAGCATAAAAGTATTAATGACTTTGTGTGAGTCCCTTTTTGACGTAGAACGCCGAAAAACTGTCCCAGTGCATAATCCAGAGGCCGTCGCCATTTCTAAACTCCATCACAAAATAGATTATTTTCTTTGCTTGAATCCATCAGTATTTCACTGACTTGTCAAGTGGCAGAATTTACACTTCGTACTTCGCAGTTGCGTCTTCGGTTGAGCACACGTTCCCAGTATTCCGCCATTCATTTGAAACTAAATGACTGTGGTTTTTTGTTTTTCATGCGACTCCTCATCGAACGGACACGTTTTTGCACATTTCATAATTTCGTACGCAGCTTTATATTTTACTCTTAGTTATTATTTCGTATTTATTTTGACTTTATTGCCACTTGTAACTTTTCGTACTTTTAATGGTCTTTTTTAAGCAATGAACTCTAAGTTCACGGTGTCATGCTAAGCAGTGTTTCTGAACAAGTACGATTATTTAACCGTCAACTGGAAACATTCCGTTAACTCTGTGCTGGCGATTTATCGAGTTGTGACGATGAATCCGTACTTGCTTCTAATTCAGATATGATAATTCTTTGTGCTGTGTGTGACTTTCCTTAGTAAAGAATTTTTAAGCCATAGATGTTCAGTGTGAAATAAAAATACTGGTGGTAGTTCGTATGGACCTCACTGTCAACTAGACGAAGCATGGTAACATTATTACGTCACCCTTCGTTGTGTCTGAACAGAAGATCAGGATTCATGAGTTCGGTCCAGCGAGGTTTCGGACGAGGTTGTGTGAATGCCGTTGAAAATTCGAGACCAATTAATAGTGTAAGCACTAATTCGATAACCAAGTCTGACAAAATACGCTTTAAAATTTTTTTCCGAAGTTTTAATTGTGTCCTTAGCCCTCTCAGAGGGTAATGCCATGTATGTTTGCTATCAGAAGTTCATTGTGTATCGCTCACAGTGGTTCATGGTTGGAGATTAAATTTAATGGAGGCGGTGTGTG